CACGGAAAGCAGGGCCGCGCCTTCCAGCGCGCACGCGCACTCCAGGCCCGAGGGGGTTCTGACAAAGAGAGGGAGGAGGCTCCAGCAGCTTCCAGAGCTCCGATCCCCCAGTGAGAAGGAAGGTTAGGAGGCGACTCCTGGGAAGCTTTGACTTTCGCTGAGAGTGACTGTGATTCACGGTCAAGGGGCCACTGAGCCGTTAAGGAGCCACGAACAGGGATATACCAGCACCGATTCTGAATTAAAACTCCCAGGAGCTGCATCCTAAGGTAGGCTGCTGATGAGAGATGATAGGGCAGGGGGGTGGAACTTCCGACCTCCCTCCCCCTTGGAAACGAACGCCCCAGCTTCAAAAAGCCGGGGGGGGTAGCCTCCGAAAGAGCGGGAGGTACATTGAAATAGGAGCCCCTTTCAGTGCACGCCATGGGTTGCACCGCGTGCGCTCCATGTTTCATGGCTTACACCTCGTAATCCATTTGCACCCCATTCTCTGCCCTCCCATAAATCACAACCAGTACACTTCACAACACACGCCGCGCCCCATACATTCATGTTCCAACACAAAAAATGGAACTCTACCCCCCGCCCCACGGAGACAAAGGTTATTAGCGCTCCTCCGCGTTACCTGCACGATTGCTAACCTGAAGCACAAACTAAACGCAAGCAAGCCAGGCCTTTCATCGACAACCCCACCGCTCCCTAGTGTCGAAAAAACACTATGAGGCGCACACGCGTAGATCTAATCAACGTTGCCTATGCGAATCATTTGAACAAGACCCGTGCAGGGCACGTGCGCCCGCCGCCGCTCGCACATCTCAAAATAAAGCAAGAATCAGTGGTTCCGAACTGGTTCCAGCCATAGCTATTCACTTACTGTCACTCACCTGCAGTTTTCCAACAACCAGTTTCCAGATGTCTGCGCGCGCTTTCGCTCAAACCATCAAACAACAGTGTTTAGCCACTATCTCAAATGAAGCATGCGGGCCCAACGCACCCGCACATGTCGAACGCATTCAACGACAATCGCGCGCTGGCCAACTCTGCAAAACGTTTCCATGCGGGCCATACAAGCCGGTCAACGCGCGCGCACGTCGGAGTCCTTCCACAACCATAGAGGTGCTTTTAAGCATGTCAGCACAGAGGTGTTCAAACACACGCACACACACACACGAGCTCTCAGTGACTTTTCAATCTGCATGCGTCGAACATCAGGGCTTCTGCGAACGCAGAAGTGCTCATCGTCCTGATTATCACAGGCGTTATCAACACCAGCGTCGTCATTGTCATCGTCATCCTCATCATCACCATCGTCGTCGACATCATCACCACCGTTGCCATGATCGCTATCGTCGGCATCGCCACCCTCGTCAAACTTCAGCGCACGCGCGCTTCCAAAACAACCCCACCAGCACCATCGCCACCTGTGAATTGTACTCCATACGATGCAGCAAGCTAGCTGAACTAGAGTTTGCCAGGACTTCTAGCTTGAGCATGCTAGCACGACCCCCCCCCCTCATCGAGCAGCAGTATGCGTGAGTAGCAGCATGCAGAGCAGTAGGCGAAGACATGCCGTTGCCGTCTCGGAGCTCGAGAGGCCCGCAATGCAGACCAGCAGATTAACATCACCTTCACCCCGGGCGCGGAGCGATTGGAAGGCAGGTGCGAGGATGACTTCGGCAGTGCGTCGGTAATCAGACTCGAGTGAGTAGAGGACTTCGATTGCCTCGACTAGTTGTCATTGGTAGCGGAGCTGCGGCTCGACACCTCGGATCGAAAGGTTCGCACTCATGATGATGCGGTACTCCCTGACAAGGTTCTGGGATGGTTCCTTCTACGCAGGGCCGAGCTGGATAAGGAAGGCAATACGCCAGTCATGAACCAAGTCGGCGACGACCTGTCGCTTACAAAGGTGGAGGGTGAGATGACGAAGACATTTGGGTTGGATTCGCTACCGAGCAGCCGAGCCAGCGTGGGAGCAGGAGCATACAATGTGGATGGTTACGACGAGTACGACGATATCCAAGAGGAGACCTATCTTGGTGAGGATGACGAGCGCTACCGCTCCAATTACGACGACGGCGGAGATGATCAGCAGGTGGAGCACCTGTGGACTGCTAGCGGTTTCGACGCAGAGGCAACATACTACAGCGAGATGGTGAACGCCAGCAGCTCCATGGCAGACGGCGCCTACATTGTGGCCGCATATTGCGACATCATGGCAGCCTGCACGGACGCGCACAAGATGATCAATGAGATGAGATTGGCTCGTGGTGTCTACCCGGTTGTGGCGATGGCGCCGCCCAAATCGCAGTCTAGGAGTTCGATGTCTGCTGTTCCCAGTGTGGCAGGACGGAGGAGCTTCACCAAGGCAAGCAGGCGGGCGAGCAACTCCGAAGGGCCGTGTCAGGGCCGCGAAAGGTTCCCCAAGCAAAGGACAGCCACCGACAGCAAAGTTTGAACCCAGGGCAACTGCAAAGACGATTAGCGTACGCTGCGGTGGCCGAGGTCACGTCGCGAGGGACTGCCTGCCCCAGGCAGGAAGAGGCAACACGTAGCGGAGGAGGCCGCAGGCATCCGCATGGTCACAGGCTTGAAACGTCGGGTGCGGCTCACCTTGTAAGAAAGATGAGACTCTTCCCGTGCTCCAAAGGTTTCAGGCGCGGCAGCGATTCTATTGGTGAGGCGACGGCGTGCGCGATGGTGCCAGCACTCGAGATCCGGATCTATGCAATTCCTGGACGCACCCCGTTCCTGTACTTCGGGCCCGTGATTGAGGAGCTATAAATGATGGTGGACTTCACGAACAAGAGGGCCTGTTAGGGGTGGAGGTGGAAGTTGGTCTAAGCTGCGACAGCAGCCTCAGAAGGGACATTTCATCATCGAGATGCTGGACGGTTACGAGACGTGCCTGAAGGAGCGGGCCGACCAGACACTACTGCCCCAACATATGCTTGCCCATATTCGCGTGCAGCAGCCGATCAGCCCATAGACGTTCCTGGGTGAGGAGGTGCTACCCTGTGAGAAGTCGGTGAATTCCGTTGGAGCTGTAGAAGAGACAGATCTCACAATGGAGACGATGGACCAGAGCACCAGACTGGCCAAGGACCTTAGCATCAAGCAGTTGCGCCGCTGTCAGAAATCTCTTGAGGCGGCATACCAGGAGGTGCAACACGACCTGATCAGGGCGAAGAGCATGCAGCGCGGGAAGCTGAAGGTCTGGGAGGTCTACAGTACGGTGGACAGTCGGAGCTCACGACATCGCTGAGGCAGAGAGGACATCAGGCACGGACATTTGGTATGCATATCGGATGGGACTTCGGCGAGCCCAAGGTACAGAAAACGGTTCTTCGATATAGCCGACGAGGAGCAGCCTGACGGCATCTGCGTGAGTCCCGAGTCTAAGCTGTGGTCGACCAAGTACAGGAGATGAGCTACCAGACGGAGACCGATCGGGCACAGCTGGCGAAGCTACGCAAGGAGAACCACGGCACAGATCTGATGTTCAGTAAGAAACTACATCTAAAGCAGTGGCAAAAGGGTCGAGACGCACATCTCCAACGGCCGGTGACGGCACGGAGCTGGAAGACGAAGGCGCTCCACGAGCTTCGGACACCATGTGCTCTTCGAACAGTGCATGACCGGCTTGGAGATCCCGGGGGAAGATCTGGCTCGGAAACGGACTTGCGCGCGCACCACTCGACGCGGATTGGCAGAAGGACTGCAGCAGTAGCAGTGCAATAAGCAGCTCGAGCACGTCCACCTGGAGGGCAAGATACCGGGTACCAACCTTCACCACACGAGGTTCGCTGAGAATTACGGCTCCAAGCTGGCCCATATCCTGGGAGACCTACTGGGTCAACCATCATACCCGGACGAGTGTTTCCTCGTGCTGTGCATCGACCAGGACGAGGATGAGGTGGAGTATGTGCACCACACCACGGTGGACCGCAGCAACGACGACATCAAGGACATATACGCCAATCGGTGGCTCAAGAACGAGTTCGGTCAGAACGTGATCAAGCTACGTGCAGCGGCTCCACAAGAACCTGGGCCACCCCAGCACAGAGGTGTTCGTGCGCATGCTTAGGCAAGCGCGTTCCAAAACTCGCAAAGCCACAACTCGCAAATGGCCTGAATCCGCCGTGGGGGATTTACGCTATGTTGCATCGCGGCGACCGTGGTTTTTCGGACGTTTGCGAGCAGGCACTTTGCGAGTAGTGGAATGCGCTCTGTGAATGCTGCACTCGGCGAGCGCGCGCGAGGAGGTCATCCTGTGTGCCAAGCGCCGTGTGCCCGGTCTGCGCCGACCGGCGCAACACATCCCAGCCCCCTAAGTCAGCACCGATGACCTGGAGAACTTTCAACCAGACTCTCTCCACTTGGACTTCTTCGAGTTCAAGTTGCGCACGGGTGCCGCCAAGGTCGCGCACCTGCTGGGCGAAGCTTGCCGCTTCCAGACGGCCCGCAACGTGGCCCGCGAGACCAGCAGCGGGGCCATCAAGTCGATCGAGAAGATGTGGATCAGGCACTACGGTACACCCAAGAAGATCGTGTGATGGACGAGTGCGGTGCAGCATGCAGTCAGGAGACGCTCGACTGGGCCAGCCAGCACAGCATCGAGATGAAAATGGCTCCTGGAGGGGCTCACCGTGTGCTTGGACCCGTCGAGCGCGCGCACCAGGTTGTGCGCGAGACGCTGGCACTGTGGTTCGATGAGACCGGACTCGAGCGCAACACCGAGAACTTGAAGTCGACATTGAATTACGTTCCCAATCACATCAACAGGATGATGCACCACAGAGGCCACGGGCCGTCTCACCGTGCTACAACCCTGAGCTCAACGACTCGCTGTCCACCGACACGCTGCACATGCCAGCCTCCGAAGCGCACCTGGAGGATGAGACGATCCTGGAGGTCATGAGGTCTCGCACGGCAGCGGCGACGGCTTTCATCAAGGCGGACTCGACCGAGCGGCTGCGCAGGGCCTTCCTGCGCAGACGACGCGACACCGACGACTCGGCCAGCACCGGCTCGCAAGAGCTGCTGCTGGCGAGACAGCGGCGCCAACCGATCCCAACGTCTCGCTGGAGAGGGCCGGCCATGGTGGCCCTGCGCAGGGAGGCGGAGAACGGCCAGCCCGTGCCATGGATCACGCATGGTGGAAGCTTGTTAAAAGGTGCAGCCCCGACCAGGCTGGACCAAGCGTCGAGCGGATCGGGGAGCCCAAGCGAAGAGCCTGCAGCAAGCCCAAGCCACCCTGGAAGGTCTCCGACGCGGAGGCACAGTGCAGTTCTCTGCAGTAAAGACCACTGCCGGGGCCGGCGGACGAGAGCCTCGACGGGCCGATGGACAGCCCTGAAGAGCCTGCCCCAGGACCCGCAGCAGGCCTCACTCGGATCCCGACGCCAGAGCGGGCCATGGCCCATGACCAACCAGCTCAGGCGGGTGTCCGCCTATGAGGAGAACAACAATCGTGTTGGGAAAACGGGGTTGGTCGGGGATGGACAGACCCCCCTTTGGTAAAACGTGGTTTAGTGAAAGCGACCTGAGGCCCAAGCCTGGCGGGCGCAAGCCTGGAAAATAGAGGCCACGGCGCCCTCTCGAGAACCGACAACGGACAATTCACTAATCGACGTGTCACTGCTGGGGGTTTTGTCCACCCCCGAGTTGGGAGGATGAAGGGTATGAGCAATAGCATCCGGGTACAATGAACGATACCTTCGGCCGCCTACGGGTAAGGATATCCGCATGTCTCCCAACCCCACCCTCCGGACCCGATCATTTCCTTCCACCCTCCCAACCTGAACCTGGGATCTGGAGCCACGGTCTGCGCCGAGGGCACCAAGCCTGGGGGCGCCGGAGCAGCCATCGGCCAGCGCAGAGAACACGAGGAGGAGGAGGAGGAGGAGGAGGAGGAGGAGGAGGAGGAGGAGGGAGGAGGAGGAGGAGGAGGCGGCGACTCCTGACCACCACGGTCCTGACCTCCACAGGCCCAATGTAATGCCACAGATGCTGCAGCTCGGTTCCGCGAGGGCCGATGAAGAGCATGGGCGTTTCGGAGGTGGGCCCCCTCCGGGCAGGCGCGGCCCAACGGGAACGGCGAGGTCGTCGGGCCGGACCCTACGGCAGGGTGGAGGTCCAGGTGGACATTCAGTTCCTAGACCTCCTCCTCCTCCTCCTCCTCCCTCCTCCTCCTCCTCCTCCTCCTCCTCCTCCTCCTCCTCCTCCTCCTCTTCCTCCTCCTCCTCCTCCTCCTCCTCCTCCTCCTCCTCCCTGGGCGGTATACCGGAGGGTTGGAGCTTCGCCACGGAGGCGACGGAGTTCTGCACGGATTGCGAGACGTGCTGCGCGGTGCCAGCGAGCTGAGGGAGAAGCAAATTGGCCGCAGGGGCCCAGGGGCCAAGTTTGCAGAGGCGGGGCGCGCGGAGCTCCAGGCCTTCTTTGACAGCCAGGTCTGGGGGGCAGGACAGGAATGCGGTGACCGACCCGAACTGACAGTCGGACCTACGCCAGCAGAACATCCTTCAAGAACATGAGACCCTCCGTCGGCCAAACCAAACAGAACATCCAAGGGCACCCTCCCCTATGATGCACAGTAACATCCAACCAGCACGAAGAACATTAGGGTACCCTCTCCCCGAACCGACCTCGATCTTATACCTCGGTCCGACTGTACTGCGGGCGCGATTCCTGCTGAAGTGGTCGCGGAATGCCGACGGGAGCTACCAGGCCAAGGCCAGGTTAGTCATCCAAGGACTCCGAGATCCAGATGCGCTGGCAGGGAAGTTGGCCAAGTCGTCTCCAACTATGACGAGACTGCGCAGGACTTTCATCGTGCTGTTTGGTCGCATCCATGACTGGACCCTGTTCACCGCCGATGTCAGTACCGCATTTCTCCAGGGCAAGCGCTCAGACCGCAGCATCTCTGTACTTACCGGCGAAAGCGTGCAAGCCAAGCAACTGAATGAAACTGCTCAAGAGCAGGTACGGCCTCAGTGACGCGCCTGAGCTCTGGTAAGAGGAGGCTACTGACCGTATGAGGCGATACGGAGTCATGGTCAACCCGCTGGACCCGTGCCTACTTCTGAGCTGCCGCATAGAGCAGGGCAAGTGCGAGAAGGTGTTCGACGGAGCCATAGGGCTGCACGGTGGACGACGTGCTCGGCGGCGGAAGCGATGCCAAGGGCAGGGCATGCGTCGAAGCGCGAGTTCGGCATCTCGAGAAGGTCTTCAACTTCAGGGCGTGGGAGGACACCGGCACCGACACCCTCAACGTGGCAGGCGACTCGTCTGCAGTGCGTGTTTGCAGCAACCAGCTCGGCAAAGCAGCCAATGGCGACCACCTGGTGAGCTGTAGAGCCTACATCAAGTCACTGAAGCCGATCACCATGATGAAGGACCGAGCCAACGACCACAAGCTGGCCATCACCGAGAGCGAGCGTTGACAGCTACGAGGAATGATGGGAAGTTCGACGTGACCAAATAACCAGGCTGCGCCATTTCCGCAATGCAGTCGAATCCTCGGCCAAGGGACCATCAAAGAGAACAGCACAGTGCAGGACATCGTGGAGGCCAACAAGACGCTCAGGTTCGCCAAGGCAAACGTGACGTGTGCCAAATTTTCCACAAGATATTGGACGACCCCGACGACGTGGCTTCTTTTTTCGATCTGTATGACGGACGCGGCATGGGCCGTAAGGAGATATGGCAATGCGCAAGGAGGCTACCTCATCCTGGCGGTGCCCAAACGAGTGTTGACGGGCGAGACCGTCAGGTACGTGGTGTTAGACTGGCGCTTGTGGAAGCTACCAAGGGTGAGTCGGTCCTCATTGGCGAGTGAGGCCGAAGCCGCAGCTGGTGGAGATGATGCGCTGGAGCACGCGAAGGTGCACTACAGCTTGATGCTCCACCCGACGAGGGACGCCCCAGGCTGAACGGCACCATGGGCACCAAGGCTCTCTACGACGCGGCCCAGGAAGCCCCACGTGTACAACTTAGACGGCATGCGCACAGACATCGAGGTGCGGGTGATGAAGGAGCGGATGACGGCGAGCGCGACGGGCTGGCACTGGATCAGTTCTACGAGCCAGTTCGCTGACGGCTTCACCAAGCTAGCGGCCGTACAACTGCTGGCCGACCGCCTGCGGACTGGGACCATCAGCCTCACGTTCGACGAGAATTTCTAGGCCGCAAAGAAGACGGCAAAAGATCAACATGCGTAGGTCAACAAGCTCGCTATGGCGGGATCGAGGACGACCACGACGGCGATAAGAGCAGTGGCTCACCTGGCGGAGACCATGACAGCTCACGAGCTGAAATCCAACGAGAAGCAGGACTACGGAGTGGTCCGCGTGGAGTGGACGAGCACTCGACAGGTGACCATCAGCATCCCTCTGACGCGTGTGCTCCGGGTGGCACCAGGTGGTGCTGACATTCATCACCATCATGCTCCTGATTCTGGGCGTGTGCCTCTACGTGTGCAGTCGCCCCGACACAGCCCGCAGGTATCCAGCGCTGGAGGTGGACTCCACGAGCAGCGAGAAGATCCAGAACCCGACGAAGATCAACGTGGTGACTGGGGAAACCAAAAAGGCACCGATACCGCTACTCCCCGGACCTCTCTGGGGGTGCGTTCTGACCAGGATTTCGAGGCGAATCCAACGGCGGCGACGAGGGCGTCCCAGGAGGCCCAAAAAGGGGAAAACGAGAAAAAGGGTAAAGTAGCGGTATGGGTACATGTTCCTCCTATTAGAGACGCTGAAGTGGGACACAGAGGAACAGAGTCCGTGACGTCCAGCGCAATCGGCAAGCCCGACGGCCAACATGCACGATGCCAGCATGCGACTCAAGGGTTTGCACGCGGCTGGGGCGTCACGAGTCAGCCGAGCCGGGTCGAGTGGCCGAAGCCGCCTCACGAGTGAAGGCTGCCCCAGCAAATCTCGATTTGCACTCGGCCCTATGATCATTGTTCCCGTTCCTTTTCTGTTGCTCAATCGCGTGGGGACACGGGCAGAGCCGCGCGGGCATTGCAATCGTGCGGGGACGGGCGAGGCTGGGAGCGCCCTTCGAGGCGGGCCCCCGCCGGGCCGTGCCAGCACCTGGCGCCTGCTGCAGGACACAGTCGGACCCAGGCCAGAAGGACGTCCGTCCAGAACACGAGACCCTCCATCGGCCCGAACACAGAGAACATCCGAGGGCACCCCCCACACCAAGCATCATTGTTCCCGTTTCCTGCTCCCCCTCATCTCGCAGTGAGCAATTTGCGAGCAGTGGCTCTGCTTGCGACTATGAGGCGCAGCCAGTCTCGAACGTGACGGTTGTAGCGTCCTGCAGTTCTTTCGATTGAAAGGTGGTCGGTTTTCCCAGTTGCCATTCCATGTCTCACGAGTGTGAAATGTACCCCAGACGATGCAGCTAGCTAGCTCAACTAGGGGCTGTTAGGGTTTGTAGCACGACCTCCCCCCATACAGCAGCAGTACGCGTGTGTAGCAACATGCAGGGAAATCAACAAGGACACGACATTGCCGTTTTGGAGCTCGGGAGGCCACTCGTGCAGACCGAAATGTTACCATCACCTTCCTCCTGGCGCAGAGCGATTCGAGGGCAGGTGCGAGGACTATTTTGGCAGTGTATCGGAATTCAGATTCAAGTGAATACGAGGACTTCGATTGCCTCGACTAGTTGACATCACCACCATCGCCAACGTCTTCGTTGCCACTATCCGAATCATCGCCATCATCATCGTCGGTGTCACCGACCAATTGCATGTTGACACCAAATTCCGGGTGAGTAGGTGGGACGGCTGAATTTTGACCTTTGAACTGCACCCTATAAATCGAACCTGGACTTTGCCACCTAAGGTGCAAGTTCGGGGCCCACGCGCCAGCATCATCTCCTCGACTGCCATGTGGTACCACCGTCTATTATGTCGTATGCTCGTCCGTTTCGTTCTTCTCCTGCAGTGCACGTTTCGCCACGTATCGCACCTATCTTCGATCGTCTTTTTGCGTATCACCACATCCTGCGTTGCATCCAATGAACGTATAATCTACGCAACACGCACGCAAGTGGTGGCCATGACCTCAGAGACCAGGCCCACGGCAAGTGTATGATGCTACCCGCACCCGTACTAACGGCACGTTCAGGCGTACCATAGTGTTTCGTCGATATTTGGCGAGGTTCCTGCAAGTGTCCAACACGTCCCCAACATGTGTTCCCCGCCTGGTGATTGTTTCGGCCAAGGCGACCCCAAGACGGCCAAAGGCTGCCACCAAGAGGGCAGCGCCCGAATGGCCAACACAAGACAACATAAAGACCCCTAGATGTCCTCAAGAGGCCCCCCGAGGCCCCAAGACGCCACCACAAGGACCTCGATTGGCCCTGCAGCAAGGCATCGGTAAGCCAACAGAGCACCCCGCCGAGAGGCCTTGAACATTACATCAGGTGCAAGCACACGAACGAGCCTACACGGCACATAGTGAACTATTCAATAGTTTGCACAAGAGAGTCATCGTGCTACTAATCAGGAGCGTTGCATAAGGAACAAAGAGCTTGTCCGGCCACGGCAAGCCTCGGCCACGAAGGAACGGCCCGAAATTCAGAGACCCTCTTGAGCCCAAAATGGTCGTTACCCCAGCGGCTTGAATGTAAGTTTGGCGAGGCTCCCCACAGCCCCGAGTCACGAATCGGTCTCTGTGGTCTTCCCTGCCCCACTGGCTGCGCCGCCGAGGGCGCCAAACACCAGACCGTTCCCCGATGCCCCCCCAGCGATATGAACTGCGGTTTCGTCTGCGGTATCAGCCAGACACACCGCATTCCCGAATCACCAGAGAGCTCGCCGTGTTTGCCCCATCGCCCCGCAGCCCAAGCGGCGTAGCCCCGCAGAACCCGCGAGAAACAAATGTTTTGTTGAGACCTGCCCGCCTGCTCACTCTCGGCTTCGGCCGCGTCGCCGTCTTCCCGCTTGTCCTCATCCCTCTCCACTCTCTCTGCCTCTCCTCTTTCTTTCGTTTGTCTCTCTCTCTCTCTCTCTCTTTCTCTGTCTCCTTTTTCGTCCCGCCTCCCTCCTCCCTCTCCCGTCCTCCACAACCCCCTCCCCGAGCTCCCCACCGTAGGCTGCTCCGAAGGTTGCGCCACATCCAGGGTCACGCCCCAGGCTGCGCCGAGGTGTGGCCCTCAGGCACAAGTCGCAAACCTAGCTGCCCCGTTAAGCAACACGTAGCGTGTTGACACGGAGCTCAACACGTATATTGAAAACGTACACCTGGCGTGACACTTTCGCCAAAAGGTGGGCAAACACGTGGCGAACCAACACGCGACGTGTTGACACGGACGATTTGAGCACGGTACGTGCTGCGTCTCAAAACGGGCGTATCGAGGCAGCTAAGGTCACAAGCTGCTTGCCCATGACGTCCGCCGAACAGATTGGCGTGAATGCTCGCCCGAGAAGGTGGACCACGTCGGCCCACAGGGAGCCCCCAAAGCGACCGCAAGAGAGGAACCCGCCCAAAGCGCCACGACAGCCTCCGAGCCGGCCTGCGCTTAGGAGCTGCATGAGTGTTGCTTGGCACTTCGCGGCGCCGGCCCGGGCGACACGCAAGCCCTGCAAGCTGGTCGCGCGTCGCTCCACCCCGCAGGGGCGGGAGGCTGGGAAGGCTCGGGACATTGAGCTCGGGGACCGGGAAGTGGACAGCACGCCGCGCCGAGGCGTGGTGGTGGCCAGCACCCGAGGAGCCACACGCGGAGCGGACGTGCCCGACCGCAGCAGCTTTCTTGACGCCGGCGCCAGGAGCCCTCGACCATGTCCCCGCGGCAGGATTTCCATCCTGAGCCGTGCTTTTTTACTGCCCCCAGGCCCGGAAACGGCCCCCTGAGGCCGACAACGGCAAACACCTGGTCGCCGCGGCTCTCGTTGCAGCGCCCGGGTGCGAGGGGGCCCCAGCTCAGGCCCCAGCGCGCCCCAGGGAGGAGGCACGCTCCTCGTGAGAGAGAGAGAGAGAGAGAGAGCAGCCGCGTGACCAAAGCAGGAGGGAGGAGAGCAGGCCTGCCTTGGCCTTCTCCCAAGCGCCCCCTGAGTCGAATCGACAAGTCGGACCGGCGATCGAAATGACTCGGGTCGGCGGAAATCGGCAGCCAGGTCGGGAAACGTCGAACCGGCGGAAATCGGTAGCTTGGCAGAGGCCTCCACGAAGAAATCGGAGCCCACATCGGAATCCGCAGTCGCACCGAATCGGCATCGGAAGCCACCGGCATCGAAAATCGAATCGAAGCGGTGGCATCGAAATGATCCCTGTTCTCCCGCTTGGCCCAGGATGCGCTCTGGAGAGAGCCAGGGGCGGCGCGCGCACGGAGCTGCCGGCGCGACGGCGGGGGCGGCCTTCTCAGCAGGACGCGCACAGCCACAGCGGTCTGCGCGCCCATCGAGGACGAAGAAGAGGATGAGGATGAGGAGCAGAGGGAGAAGGAGGCGGAGGAGGAGGACGGAGGAGGAGGAGGAGGAGGAGGAGGAGGAGGAGGAGGAGGAGGAGGAGGAGGAGGAGGAGGAGGAGGAGGAGGAGGGATCAGGAGGAGGAGGAGGAGGAGGAGGAGGACGGAGGAGGAGGAGGAGGAGGAGGAGAGGAGGAGGAGGAGGAGGGAGGAGGAGGAGGAGGAGGAGGAGGAGGAGGAGGAGGAGGAGGAGGAGGAGGAGGAGGAGGAGGAGGCGGAGGAGGAGGAGGAGGCGGAGGAGGCGCGCAGGCTCGGGCAGGAGCGCCTGCCTCGCACGCCGCGAGGCGCGCCCAGCGCCGCACCGCGAGAGCTGGCGCCGCGCCTCGGAGAGCCGCCCCCGCCGCGCCGCGGCGGCGGCCCCTTCGCGCACGGCAGGCCTCGGCCTCGGCGCCCCGCGCTCCGCGGGCAGGCCTCGGCCCGCGGCGCGCGCCGCGGGCCTCTGCGCGCGCGGCGGGCCTCGGCGGGGGGCCGCGCTGCGTGCAGCGCGCCCCCCGTCGACGGCGGGGCAGCGATGGGGCGGCAGCGGCCTGGCAAACGGCGACACGTCGCCGGCAGATCGGCGAAAGGGGGCGCCTCCGAGGGCGCAGCCGAGCGCTTTCGGGCGGGGCGGGGCAGCGGGGCCCCCCCTCGGCGACGAACGGGCGATTCGGGGGTGTTGCGCCCCGCCCGGATCTACCACTGTTCCCATAGTAGTAAGCACCACCTCCCTCAGGCGACCAGCAGCCAACCAGGACCAATGAGGGCCCCCCCCGCCATCCCTGTCAAAAAAACATGTGAGGTTCACTTTGGGGTAAAATCTTGGGTCATTATCAGGGGGGGCGCAAGCTCTGTGTATTGTTGTTTGACAGGGGCGGCGTGGGTGCCCGCACATTGCACTTGCGCGCAGGGCCAGCATCCTTATCAAAAACTTACAACGTGCACTGCCGAGACAAGAACACCTCGCCACAGCGTTGCGCACATGGTGTCGGTTCTGGATCCCATTAGCTGCCCTTCCAAAGACTACCGCTGACCATGCTGCGGCTCGGGTGCTACTTATGTGGCAGGTTTCGGAAACCCTGTACGCAACAACGTTTTCATCTCTTGGACACGTTGTTTTACTTTCGCCGTCTTCCGCCGGCGGAGGCGGCCTCGTTTTACTTCCGCCGACCTTCCGCCGCCCTTCCGCCGCCCTTCCGCCGCCTTCCGCCGCCTTCCGCCGCCTTCCGTCGAGGAAGAGATGACAACTCTTTCTATCCATCGAAGGCAAGGCCCTGTCTGGAACGCCTCATGTGTTGGGAGGGCGGATGGGAGGGAGCGAGACGGCTTGCGGGCGGGGAGGGTGTCTTGACCCCCCCCCCCAACGCTGCCCACAATCGACGCGCAGAACCTGGCTCTGCTTCTCCACGATGGTGGGTGCGCCCAAGAGGGGGCGTACAAGGGGGAGGCGCCTAAGAGGGGGTGTCGCATATCGTGGCAAGAGGCACGTACGCGGCCCAGGGGAGGGCCAGGGGACATGCTGAAAGAAGAAAAAGAAAAAGAGGAAACAGAGGATGAAGAAGAAGAATAAGTAGTAGAGTAAGACGAAGTAGAATAAGAATAAGTAGTAGTAGTAGTAGTAGTAGTAGAAGAAGAAATATAAGTAGTAGTAGTGGTAGTAGTCGTAGTAGTAGTAGTAGAAGAAGAAGAAGTCGTAGTCGTCGTAGTAGTAGTAGTAGTAGCAGTAGTAGTAGTAGTAGTAGCAGTAGTAGCAGTAGTAGTAGTAGTAGTAGTAGTAGTAGTAGTAGTAGTAGTCGTAGTAGTAGTCGTAGTAGTAGTAGTAGTAGTAGTAGCAGCAGCAGTAGTAGTAGTAGTAGTCGTAGAAGAAGAAGAAGGAGAAGAAGAAGAAGAAGAGGGGGCCAAGAAATCCCGGGAGATGCCATGGCCCCGGCCATGACACCCACACCCCCGTAGGCGTCACGCCCGCCCCTGGCCGCCCCCGAGACGCGCAGAGCCCGGCCCTGCGTCTCCACGAGGGCTGTTGGCGGCCCGAGCGCGGCAGCTCTCAGCACGGGCCCTGGGCCCCGTGACGCCCGGGGCGTGAGAGAGCCCCCGCTCGCGCCCAGCTGCTCGCCAGCGCGGCACACGTCGCCGTGCTACTCCACGAGGGTGGTGGTGACCTGCGTGCGATAGATTCGACGACCCCTTGGGGACTGCCTCGACGTGTGAGATGGGCGCCCTTTCCCGGGAGCCCCTCCCCGAGGGCCCCAGGGGAGCTCCAGCCGGGCCTAGAGAGCCCAGCGGGCCCTCCATGCGGCCCCGGAGAGAGGCTGCAAGAGGTCCCCTGGAGCATGGCCCCAGGCGGAGGCACGGCGCCCCCGCAAGACGGGCCCACAGGCTCGCCTCAAGGAGTCGGCGGCGCCGAGAAAGCCAAAGAATCTCGGCATACACTCCGCCCCTTGCGACGAGGTCGGCGTGGGAGCCGCGCTCCACGATCGCGCCGCCCTCGACGCACAGGGTCTGCCCGGCGTCCTTGATGGTCTCCAGGCGGTGGGCGATCGTCAGCACGGTCTTGCCAGAGCTCAGGCGGGCCAGCGCGGCGTTCACGTGCCGCTGCGTGCGGCTGTCGAGGCTACTGGTGGCCTCTGGAGGATGACAACAAGCACAAACATGTTAGCCAGCGTGGACGCCAGACGGGTGTTCAAGCATACGATGCCGTGCATACATGCATATATACATATAAACATAAGCACATACATACATACATACATACATACATGCATGCATACATCCATACATACATACAGACATACAGACAGACATATGTACATACACACATGTGTATGCAGATGTGCGTAGTTTATGTATGTATGTATGCGTGCATGTGTGTATGCATGTTTGAGTGTGTGTATACATGTATGTATATGTATGTGTATGAATGCATGTATGTATGTACGTATGCATGTATGTATGCATATGTGAATACATGTGTGTATATATATATATATATGTGTGTGGATGCATGCGTGTATGTATGTATGTGTGGATGTGTGTATGTATGTATGTGTGTATGTGTGTATGCATGTATGTGTGTATGTATGTATGTATGTTTGTATGTATGTATGTATGTACGTATGTATGTAGGTATGCTTGCATGTATGTATGCATGCATGCAGGCATGTGTGCATGCATGTATGTGTGTAGGTATGCATGCATGCATGCATGCATGTATGTATGTATGGATGGATGTATGTATGTATGTATGTATGTATGTATGTATGTATGTATGGGTGTATGTATGTATGTATGTATGTATGTATGTATGCATGTATGTATGAATGTATATGTGCATGCACGTACCTATGTGTGTATGCATGATTGTTGTATGTATGTGTGTATGCATGTATGTATGCATGTATGGATATATATACACATATATAAATATGGATGTCTGTGTCTACGTGTGTAGATATATGTGTATAGATAAGCCTACCTACAAACATAGGTATATATGTGGTGCAATATATGTGGTGCTATCTAGGCGGTGAATTCTTTGCCGTGCAATCTATGTGGTGCAAACTACGTAACGCCAACGGATGCCAACCAGTGCAAAGCACTGCGAAGCAATACGAACAATGCAAAGCGGGCGGTGATGATGCGGCGGGACGCGACGCGGCCATATGTTGGCCAGAGCGGCCCGCAGGCCCAGTTCCTTAGAAGACAACTAAGAACCCCTAAGTGCAAGCACCTTTCGGGGAAGAAACTGTCGGAGCTCCGCGTGGATTTCTTGGATCGGCGCTGGAGGCGCCACCAGGGGGGCCCAGCGCAGATCCAAGGAATCCGCGCGGACCGTCGGAGGTTTCTCTTAATGCAGCTGCTTGGTGCAAGAACGACACGCGCTCAAACCTGCAGGGCAGAGTCGGGAAGGGCGAAGCGATGAAGGCGCTGTAGGCATGTGTGGATGCGGACTGTCGGACCCCGAGGGGGACTCCAGCTCGAGCGGGGGGGGCCATCCGACAACACACACACACATACACTTGCTACGTCTGCAGCTAAGCAGAGTCACTGCGCTGGCGAGATAGCGAAACGGCCGTTGAGCAAATCGTGCCACCATGCAGGAGGAGGGGGGGAGAGGAGGAGGACGACAACACTCGGGGAGACGTAAGACTCGGGTACGGGGGACGCGGGTTGGCCTGACGGGGTCCATCATAAAAATGACGAGACGCAATCTGAAATTTGACGCGAGCTCCCACTGCAAACATCCCACGACAACTGGACCGTCAAAATCCAAGACGCGCTCGTCAAAAAACGTCGGCAAACCCGAGTTCCGGCTTACCCGAGTCTTACGTTCCCCGGAAACACATACACACAACACACACACACAACACACACAACACACAGCACACACAACACACACATACAAACACCTAGCCCCCACGAAAGCCCACCCCGAGAGATCGAGGGGGGGCGCACAGGCAGTGCTACCTGTTCATTCTCCAGGCCTCGTCCAGCAGCACCACGGGCGCGTCGCGCAGCAGCGCCCGCGCCATGGACAACCTTGAGCAGGGACCGACCGTCCCGGCATTTCTTTAGGCCTACCACGAAATTTTCGTGGAACCCAAAAACGTTCTAAGAACCAACAGGTTTTTAGAACATAAGCCCGATGCGTTCAAAAAAGACGGTCCCAGCCAGACATGTTCTGAGAACATTTCGTGCAGACCATCAGAGGTTCTCAGAACATTCTTTGGTGGGCCTACAGGCAGGCGGGGACGCTTCGCCACTGCTTGGCAGCCGCTGCAGCTCCCCGCCACTCAGGGTGTGCTGCGACACCCGCGAGTGCAGCCCGGCCGGGAAGCGCTCGGGGCTCTCGAAGACGAGCTCGTGGATCCCCGCGGCCCTGCAGGCGGCCTCGACCTGGGGAGGGCGCCCGTGAATTATTTCACGTCGTAAACTAAACTGTTCGACCCCCCCCCAACAAAACCAAAACTAAGCTGTTTGACTGATCCCAAACAAAAACACAAAACAAACTAAACTATGCTCACTTCGGAAACTATAGCTGCTGGACCCCCCCCCACACACAAAAACAAAAAAAAAAAAAAATGTTGGCATCGATCCTGGCCAGGCCGCTCCTGGGCCCAGGATCGGTATGTGCGTGTGTGTTGTGTTGTGTGTTGTGCGTTGTGTGCTGTGTGTTGCGTGTGTTGTGTGTTATGCGTGTGTGCTGTCTGTGCTGTGTGTTGTGTTTTGTGTGTGCTGTGTGTGCTGTGTGTGCTGTGTGCTGTGTGCTGTGTGCTGTGTGCTGTGTGCTGTGTGCTGTGTGCTGTGTGCTGTGTGCTGTGTGCTGCGTGCTGCGTGCTGCGTGCTGCGTGCTGCGTGCTGCGTGCTGCGTGCTGCGTGCTGCGTGCTGCGTGCTGCGTGCTGCGTGCTGCGTGCTGCGTGCTGCGTGCTGCTGCGTGCTGCGTGCTGCGTGCTGCGTGCTGCGTGCTGCGTGCTGCGTGCTGTGTGCTGTGTGCTGTGTGCTGTGTGCTGTGTGCTGTGTGCTGTGTGCTGTGCGCTGTGCGCTGTGCGCTGTGCGCTGTGCGCTGTGCGCTGTGCGCTGTGCGCTGTGCGCTGTGCGCTGTGCGCTGTGCGCTGTGCGCTGTGCGCTGTGCGCTGTGCGCTGTGCGCTGTGCGCTGTGCGCTGTGCGCTGTGCGCTGTGCGCTGTGCGCTGTGCGCTGTGCGCTGTGCGCTGTGCGCTGTGCGCTGTGCGCTGTGCGCTGTGCGCTGTGCGCTGTGCGCTGTGCGCTGTGCGCTGTGCGCTGTGCGCTGTGCGCTGTGCGCTGTGCGCTGTGCGCTGTGCGCTGTGCGCTGTGCGCTGTGCGCTGTGCGCTGTGCGCTGTGCGCTGTGCGCTGTGCGCTGTGCGCTGTGCGCTGTGCGCTGTGCGCTGTGCGCTGTGCGCTGTGCGCTGTGCGCTGTGCGCTGTGCGCTGTGCACTGTGCGCTGTGCGCTGTGCGCTGTGCGCTGTGCGCTGTGCGCTGTGCGCTGTGCACTGTGTGCTGTGTGCTGTGTGCTGTGTGCTGTGTGTGCTGTGTGTGCTGTGTGTGCTGTGTGTGCTGTGTGTGCTGTGTGTGCTGTGTGTGCTGTGTGTGCTGTGTGTGCTGTGTGTGCTGTGTGTGCTGTGTGTGCTGTGTGCTGTGTGCTGTGTGTGCTGTGTGCTGTGTGCTGTGTGCTGTGTGCTGTGTGCTGTGATTGCGGGTGTGAGGTGCGCTGTGCGCTGTTCGCAGGTTTGCGCTGTGCGCTGTGCCTGTGCGCTGTGTGCTGTGATGCGTGTGGCTGTGTGCTTGGTGCGGTGCTGTGTGCTTGTGATGATGTGTGCTGTGTGCTGTGTGCTGTGTGCTGTGTGCTGTGTGCTGTGGCTGCTGTGTGCTGTGTGTGCTGTGTGTGCTGTGTGTGCTGTGTTGTGTGTGCTGTGTGTGCTGCGCGTGCCGCGTGCGCTGCGTGTGCTGCGTGTGCTGCGTGCGGTGTGTGTGTGCTGCGTGTGCGGTGTGTGATGCTGGGGCTGCTGTGTGATGAGGTGGTGCTGATGTGTGCTGCATGTGTGCTGATGTGTTGATGTGTGTGTGAGGTGGGTGTGCTGTGTGTGTGCTGTGTGGTGTGCGTGTGTGCGCGTTGGTGTGCAGTCAATGTGTGTGCCGTTGTGTGTGCGGTGTGGTGCTGTGTGTGTTTGCTGTGTAGTGTGATGTGTGTGTGTGTGTGTGTGCTGTGTTGTGTGTGCTGTGTGTGTGATGTGTTGGGTGATGTGTGTGTGCTGTGTTGTGTGCTGTGTGGTTGTGCATGTGTGGTGATGTGTGTGTGATGTGTGTGCTGTGTGTGCGGGTGTGTTGCTGGTGGCTGGTGTTGCTGTGTTTGCTGTGTGGCTGTGTGTGCTGTGGTTCTTTGCTGTGTGTGTGTGTGTGTGTGTGTGGTGTGTGTGTGCGTGTGCGTGTGCGTGTGCGTGTGCGTGTGCGTGTGCGTGTGCGTGTGCGTGTGCGTGTGCGTGTGCGTGTGCGCGTGCGCGTGCGAGTGCGTGGCGTGCGCGTGCGCGTGCGCGTGCGCGTGCGCGTGCGCGTGCGCGTGCGCGTGCGCGTGCGCGTGCGCGTGCGCGTGCGCGTGCGCGTGCGCGTGCGCGTGCGCGTGCGCGTGCGCGTGCGCGTGCGCGTGCGCGTGCGCGTGCGCGTGCGCGTGCGCGTGCGTGTGCGTGTGCGTGTGCGTGTGCGTGTGCGTGTGCGTGTGCGTGTGCGTGTGCGTGTGCGTGTGCGTGTGCGTGTGCGTGTGGTGTGTGTGGTGTGTGTGGTGTGTTTTGGTGCTTTGGTGCCTTGGCGGCCTGGGGCGTCTGCACCTCGCCAGGCCCGTGCGCAGGGCCCTCGGGCGACGTCCGTCGCCTGCCGAGCCCGAGAGAGGGGCCGAGCCGCGGGCAGCGCCCCCGCGCGCTCCCCAGGGCGGCGGCGCCGTGGCCCCCTCGAGGCCGCGCCCCACCCTAGGCCCCTCAGCCTGCCGCCAAGGGGGGCCGAAAAGCAGTGAGAAAACGCGCCGCGCCCAGGCCACCCGCAACGCGGGAAGGTAGGCCCGAGCGCCCCGAGCGGGGCGGCAGCCCCGCCCAGGCCCCTCAGCTCACGGATAACACCGCGCCAGGGGGGGCCGCACGCACAGAAACCAGACAGATCATTGAACGAGCACAACGGCCTCAACTCAGATCCCGTCCAGTTTTTGGGTCCTGGCCGCGCTGGATGCGGCGGATGCGCCTGAGGCGCTCCCTGTCGCCTGGGTCGCGCGGGTCCAGCCGCCTGCACGGCCCGCCGAGGTTCCTGGCCACCGAGCTGTAGTAGGAACCGCACACCACGCAGACCACGAAGTTGCCGATGATCTCGACCGTGTGCGGCCGCGGCACCGACGAAGCGGCCCTGGCCGTCCCAGGCAGCGCCTGGCCACCCCTGGCGGGCTGGGCAGAGGCAGAGGCCGCCCGCCCGCGCGCACCCTGCTCTGGCTCCGAGGCCGCCGCGGCCGCAGCCGAGGGCGGCGGGGGCCCCGCCAGCGGTGCCAGGCCTCCCTGGCCAAAGCCCGCCGCCGCCGCCGAAGATGCTGAGGAACCAGTCCTTGGGGCCTTACCACCGTGTTTCAGGCTGCCCTGGCCAGCACGAGCTTGGTGTGCCGCCAAGGGGGCGGAGCACACTGCGGCCGCTGCCTGGGTGGCAACCTTGCCGTCCACGGCCAGGGAGCTGGCCAGCTCGCCCAGATCAGCTCCAGGCTCACCATCAGGTTGAACAGCAGTCGGCACCGTGGGAACCGCTGCCCCAGCGCCAGCCACACCACCGCCGACCACGTCTTGGGAACTGGTGGCTGCCTCACTGCGGATCCGCAAAACACCCTCCCGCCTCGCCCCACCCGCTGGAGCTCCCTCCTCCTGTGGCTGGAGTGCCCTGGGGGCGAGGTCGGGATTGGGCGACGACACGCGCTCTGACGCCTGGGTGCCGGTGGCCGCCGTGCCGCCTGCCTCCACCACCTCGAGGTCGCTGTGCACGCTGAGGGCCGCGAACTCGTCGGCATCGTCGTACCCCATGGCGCCCTCGGCTGCGCGGCCTGCCGCATCACCTCCTTGGTCGTCGTCCGAGGAGAGGGGCTCGTAGACCCACTGGTGCCACGAGGCCGTCTCAGGCGGGGCACGATCACCCAGAAGCTCCTTGAAACGCTCCCTGACCTGGTTCAACACGTCGAAGTGATGCCGAAGCAGCCGACGTCGCTGTTTGGCTGTCAAACCCGAGTCAGGCCGTACTCTGGCGAACTGATCCTGACGGGCTGGCTCGGCCCGCGTCCAAGAGGTAGCGCATAGGTCGTCGACTACCTGGTGTAGAGTGCGGCCAGGGTTGCTACGTAAAAGATGCTCTCGAACTGGAGTCCACGTCGCCAGGCTGAGAAACCTCTCAAGGTATTCCGAACACCACGTACGGTAGTCCCACTCGTTGGTGAAACCTGCCACGTCGAAACGATCGATCCAGAAAGACGCCCAGATGATGGCATCGTCCATGATGGAACGGACCTGCTGCTGCTCGAGCGTGATGTGTGGCTGGCTTGACGAGGATTCCATGCACGCAGGGCCGTCGGGTATCCGCTCCATCCTGCCCAGAGCCTCGCGGGCTGCTGCGACATGAGCCCACAGCGGGTCGGGGCCCCGCTGGGAGGCTGGCGCAGGGTCGGGCTCTACCCGAGGCTCATCCTGATCTCCATGGTCTGCTCGTTGTCGGACAGGCCGAGCGGCGGCGCCTGCTGCCACGAGAAGAGGCACTGCCACACTGCCTCTCTTGCCCGCACTCTTGACTAACTTGCCCTGGAGCCCTTGGAGGCGACCGCGGCACTCCTGCAACTGAAAGGCCACGAGGCGAGTGCGGGCAATCTTGCCGCAGCTGGTGCACTTGGAATAACCGCGGCACACTTCCAGAAAGTGCGGGTGCCTGGGACCAGCCTGAGATCTCGCTGCCTGCGGAATGTTGGCCTCTTGGCCCTGCTGTCGTTTGGGCCTAGGCTCCGCCAACTTGACCCCGTCGAGGAGGACCCTGAAGTGCCCGATGTACTCGAGCACGCGCTTGGTGGCCTTGAGCTCCTGCTTGACCTGCAACGTGGCCCACTCTGGCGGCGCGCTGAGGTCTGCCCCTTGCTTGGCCCATTCGTCTGCTAAATCATTGTGCTTCATATGAATCTGGACCTCCTCTGGCAGCTCTAGACGTTTGGCCTGCGATATGTGCGAGGCGACTTTGATGACAGAAAGCTCTCTGCCAGGAAGGATGTCCATGTCGTCCAGGCGATCCCAGACCTCGACCCAGACGTGCGCATAGGGCCTGGCCGAGGAGCAACACCATGCCCTGCCACGAGCCAAGCCTTGGACCACCTGGGCATTGTCAAGGATGATGGCCGTGATGAAGACCGAATGCCTGAGGGCGTGGAGGAGACCCCGCAACTCTGCCAGGACCGAGCTGGGGTCGGGAAAGGGCAGTGGGCCGTACAGGCCCTGCACCACGTCGTCGGCCTCCGCTGTGCACTGCAAAGCCGCCCAGCCGCCGTGCCTGAGGTCATCCAAGCCTTTGACTGATCCGTCCGACACCAGCACATCGGTGAGCTCGGGGGCCGCGCCATTGACGATCCAATAGGTGCGCTGCGACGGTAGACTCCAAGCCAAGCCGTAACATGGGGTCCGCCGCAAACCCCGCTCCCATAGCCACCTTGAGGCTTCCGACGAGGAGGCCGACACGCCCAGGTGGCCGACGTCTCTGAAGGTAGGTGATGCGTCGTGGGCTGTCAGCTGCTCCCTTACTGTAGCACACGTCGGGCTGCCGCACCGCCAGTAATAGTGCTGGTGCGTGCCGAAACAGGTCGTGTCGTCGCACAGCTGGCAGTACGGAGTGTCCGCCTGGCCCGACAAGAAAAGAGCCTCCTGCGAAGGGAAACCTCCCAGCACCGCCTTCTTGACCGCGTCGGCATGGTGCTGCAGCCACCCGTCCTGCTTGCGCCGCTTGACCAACTGCCTCGCTGGGGTGAGCCACGGCGCTGGCAGGAGCGCAGCCCGCTCGGGCTGGGCCGCCGCCCACTGGCACAAGGCTCTGGAACGGGCGGCCAACAGCACGGCGGCCTCGACGGACTTGGGGCAGACCTGCAGTAGATCCAGATGTACGTCCCCTCCTTGGAGCACTCCGCCACGTGGAGGCAAGACAATCTCAAAGGCTGACGGCATGCTCCACCCATGGGCTCTAACTGTGACCGAGGTGGCCCCCGCTGGGCCGCGCACCACTGACCACAACTCCTGCGCGTCGGCGTCGATGTACAGCGCGAGCTGTTGCTGCACTCGGGCCCATGCCGTGGCCTGCGCCCGTCGCCCCTCTGGGTGGTCCCAAGCTTCCCTGGCCCAGGCCAGCAGCGGCGCCAGAACGAGGGCGTCGGCACAACTGGGGTCGAGGCCGTCGTGCAAGACTCGGGAGGTAAAGGCTGTGGCGCCTCTGCGGACGGCCCGATCCTTCTGTTGGATGAAACGCACGATGGGCCTGGGCGTGCCACGGACACGGGCACCGTAGGCGACCGAGGCTCCGAGGCCCTGCCGCACGACCATCTTGAGCTTGCCCCCGCGTGCACGAGGAAGGCCGCGTATCTTAGGCCAGCGCTGCTTGGCTATCTTGAGCCGCGCGTGTCTGACTGGGGCTGACTGGTTCTCTGCCTTGACGCTGGGACCGTAGTCGATACCGAGCCACCGCTCAGAGGTGCTGGGCGGCACTCCCAGGACGGCCATGGCCTGCGTCAAGCCTGCCGACGGAGTGGCCGTCTGCAGGAAGGAGCACTTGCCTCTCGCCCCGTCCCGCGCTCGGGCAACCTCCAGGCCCAAGAAGGACTCCAGCATCCAGAACAGCAAGCGCGTGGCCTGCGGCAACATGTGCAAGACGCGCGCCTCGGTGGACATGACCCGCAGGGCGATGTCGTCAACGTGCAAGTAGATCGTGAGGCGGAAGACCCCCAGCAGGTCGTCTAAGCACAACATGAGGTAGAACCTCAGGAAGGTGGGCGCGAAACGGCTGCCCGCTGGGAGCGCTGTGGAGGACAGGACCTCCGCCGAGCAGGCCTCCCCAAGACGAATGACACGACCAAGGGCGAAACTCTCCAGCGCGAGCGCGACCACCTCCAGCGGGCCGTCCCACCAAGCTGATAGCCACCACATACGCTCATGCGGAACCTTCTCATAGCACTTGGCGAGGTCCGCCAGCATCGTAGCCGCACGTATGCCTGTGCCCAACACGAGCTCATCGTCCAACAAAGCTTTCCACAGCGCACGCTCGGAGGATTGGCCCGCCGCCGTGTAGTCGTAGCTCCTGGGGTGTGCCGCCAACCAACCCCTGATGGTGGGCAGCTGCCACGCTTCCCAGATTCGGCAAGGGCCAGGTAGTAGAATGATGGGTCGGCCCCCTCCATCGAGCTTCCCGATGATGAACACGAGCAGCAGGTGGACCTGAGTCGGCCACCGCCCCAGTTGTTGGCACCAGGCCAACAATGACGCGAGCGCCGAGAGCGTGCCGTCCGTGAGGTACGCCCAAAGCTTTGGTTGCCATCCGTCCACGCCAATCCCCGTCTTGGCCCTGAAACGCTGGGCCAAGCCACGCAGGTGGTGAGGGCTGGGCGGCGTGACAGCGACTTGCTGGAGGCCCCTCCATGGCTTGGGGAAACCTGAGCCAGTGACCCAGACCTTCGACCAGTCGTGCAACTCCTGGTCCACGGCGGCCAGAGGCGCCGCTGGGAGCAGCTTCTTGGATATGCTGCCCTTGGGGGCCTGCCAAGCCTGGCGCCACTTGGTGACCCTGTGGGGGAGCCCCTGCGAGCCTGGGAAGTCGTCCTCCAACCGCTGCTTGAAAGAATCTCGTCGTTCCTTGCCTATCTGCCACTCTAAGTACGAGGCATACTGACTGCAGCTGAGGCGCCAATCCGCGAGCTCCTGCAGGTCTTCGTAGCCGCGGTCCCGAGACGTGAAAACCTCGAAGAACTCCTGCAGCTCAGCCACGCCTTCAACCAGCATGTGGCGTCTGAAGCGGTCACACAACTTGCGAATGGAGGCGTGCCGCTGCTGGTGCAGCGTGGCGAGGACCAGGTCGGAAGCGCCCGTGTAGCTGAAAAGCTTCACTTCAATGATGCCCAGCCAAGCCAACTCGTTGGCAAACCACCTCCAGCGCTTGGCCTCACCGTACGAGGCGATGGCCTCGGTGTGGGTCGGGAGCAACGGGCACTTCTTGAAGCGTGGTGGTCCCCCACGCCCTCGGCATTGAACGGCTTGCCGACTGCTGGGGTCCAAACCCACCTTTTGGATCAGCTCCTCCTCGGCGGCGTGGCAAAAGACCTCCCAGGTGCCGTCGAGGAGCTCCTGGGTGGGCACCGCATCGGGGTCGAAACCCGCAGGCACGTCTGGACATGAGAGATCGAAATGCTTCGGCTTGACTCCTGGGATCGGGAACTTGTGGGGTCGGATGAGCTTGGTGTAGGTAAAGGCGGACCAAGGCTGCAACAACTCGACCCATGTGGCTCGATGAGGGTGGTAGACCGCGTCGTCGTCAATGCGGGCTGGGGAAATATTGGCAGCCAAACTGGAGTGCATCCAGAAGTAATCGATCACGCGCTCACCATGCGGGGAGCGGTTGGTGCCCCCTTCCCCTTGCCATGCTACGACACGGCCTCTAAGCTGGTTGTTCCACGGCGACCGCTCCAAAGCGTCAGGTAGATTCTCCCAGTCCGCGATGACTAGCCAGGGCAGCTGGAGCTGGACTGCCCACCCTGTGATAACCGACAGGAGAGCAGAATTGCCCACTGACGCCAGCTTCTGACCCGTGAAGCAATACGCACAGAAAACAAGTAACTTGCCGATGCCCTTGGCCTCGAGGGTGGCCATCAGGAGCCTGCCCGCACAACCTGGGGGCGATATGTCCCAGTGTCGCTGTCCAGCTGCAAGGGTGACGCCGACGCAGGCAGGTATCGCCAGCATGACGCCCGCTGAGGCCCCTCCATTCGGGCCGTCCGTCGCTGGCGCGGGCAGGGCCCTCCAGCCCAAGGGCAGCAGGGCCCGTGCGCTCTCTTCGGCCCACAACCGCCGCTTGCCGTGCTCCTGGAAACCGATGATCGGAATCTTGCCCTCGGCGAGCTGCTGGTGTGCCGCTCCGTGGAGGTAGCCCACAACGTTGCCCCAGCTGAGGCTGGCGTTGACACTGTGGAAGGCGAAGCGCCTGTGGCTCCGCTGTCGACGCTTGCCTCTACGAGCTCCTGCTGCTGGGGGTCGATACTTGGCGACGTCGCACTGGGGCTTTGCCGAAATCCCGCTGCAGGTGGACTGGCCGCCGACGCTGCCGACGCTGAGGTCCTTGCCCTCGGTAGGGTGTGCCACAGCCTCCTGCGCCGTGCCGACAATGCATGTCTGCCCAGGGCCGCGGTGGCTTTCCCCAGATGAGACAGCTGAGCCAGCAGAAACAAAGCCTGACGCAAGTAACGCCTGACTGCCCCCGTGGGCAGAGCCTCCACAACCTGCTGTAACCACTGGGCCCGAGAAACCACCAACTGACGTAAATTGCGCCTGAGGGCCTCCAGTGGCCAGGAGAGACTCGCCAGTGAGAACGGCAACGCCATAACACCCACCAACTGCCGTAAGCTGCTCCTGAGTGCCTCCAACGGCGACAGAAAAACCCTCAACAGGTGAGGCATCTGAGCCAGAGGGGCCGCGGCCTGACGCAAATTGCACCTGAGTGCCTCCAGCGGCCAAGAAACCACCATCCGTGGGTACTGTGGAGCACGAAAGACCACTGGCGGAAATAAGCTGCGCCTGGGTACCACCGTCAACGGCCGAGAGTCCATCGCCCGTGGAAACAGCTGAGTCGTAGCAAACACCAACTGACGTAAGCTGGTCTGGTCTGCCTCGGACGGCAGAGAGGCCCGCAGCTGAAATGCTTGGGGCAGCTCCCCGGTGCTCGTCCGTGCGGTTGCACGCGTCTGGGGTGGGAGTGAGCTCGGTGCAGTCACCTGGCGAGGCAGAGCAGTACCACGGCTCCTCCGAAGTCCCAATCGATGTGGATGGGCCGAGCTCGGCCTCCAGCACCTCCGCGGCGCACAATCTCCAACAGTGGATGCGGTCGTCGAAGTAGACGGTGGGGGCCTGCGTTGCCGACGTGGCCTGGGACTGACGGTCGAACCACCGCTCCGCGGCTGACTGGTTGCGGTCCTGCTGAGCCGCCTCACGCGCAAAAGCCTCCTGATTGGTAACCTGCAGGTGCTCTAACCATTGCCGCTGGAGGCGCCTGGCCTCCCCTCCACGGTTCCAGGCTTCGTCACCCAACTCCCGTGCAGTCCTCATGCGTTCGGCAATTCGGGATCCGCTGCCCGTGGTGGCTGCCAGGTCGTCCAGCATGGCTGTGTACTCCCCAGAACTCAGCTGGTGGAAGATGCACGGTACGCAGTAGGAGTCCCAGTGCCTGCGGTCCTGAGCCTCGGTCCCCACAGACGGGGGGCGCCAGTGCCGAGCCATGCGGCGCATACGCGTGGCCAGGATGGCCAGCTGCCGTCTGCCCAGGCGGACGAGTCTGGGCTCTCGTGGCTTGGCCTCTGGCGGTGCATCAGGTCCCCAGGGCTGGGCCTTACGCATCTGCGTCCCCAGCTGGGACGGCGGCTGCTGCTTCCAAGTCCCGCCTGAGCTGAGCCAACTTGGCTGCGCCATCGGGGCCGCGGAGGCTGGGTGGCTCAGGAAGGTGAGCAACAGGAGGCCCAGCAGGGGCCCCAGGCGACCCAGGGGCAGGGGCCTGGGCCGGGGCCGCGGCGGCCGCTGGGGCCTCCGCGGGGCCTGCTGCCGCAGGGCCTGCGGCTGGCGCCTGGGCTGGCGTCTGGTCTGCTGCTCCTGCCGCCTCGGTGCGCGGCCGCTTGCGCCTGGCCAGCAGCTGCTGGTGCTTGGCGTCGATCTCGCTGCGCCTCTGCTCCAGCTGCGTCTTGGCCTCCCCGAAGGTGGTGCGCACGTGCTGCTTGACCTGCTCGACGAAGCCCTCCAGGGACTTGTTGAACTCCTCGCGCTCCGCGTCGGTGATGTCCAGGTCGGGGTCGTCCAGCCTGAAGGCGTCGCCTGCCTCGACCTGGAAGTCCTCCGCCAACAGCGCGGTGACGTTGAGGCCCACGGCAGGCTGAGCCTTGGCGCCAGACTCCTGCGCCACCTGCGCCTGCACCTGGACGCCCTTGGGCGCGGCTGCCTTGTAGGCCTCCTCCACCTCCGCGTCGCACGCCAGGACGAGCTCCCCAGCACGCACCTCCTCCTCGCGGCAGGACTGGAGCCACTGCTCAGCGTCCCGAACCTGCTGGGACTTGGAGAGGAAGGCGGCTTGGGCCCGCCTCTGCTTGGCTTGGGCGCGGTTGAGAGCCACATCTGGCAACACCGTGGCCGCAACGGGCGGTGGTGCGACGGCCTTCTTGATGGCTTCGAGCTGCAGGCCGTGCTCGGGATGCCTGGCCGCCAACGCCGCGAGGCACTCTGCGTCCGACGGCGGGGCAGGCTGCGGCCGTGGTGCCTCGTACCCGATCCAGTCGTCCGAGTGCACCCACGGCTCTCGCACGAAAGACCACGCCGATGCCCGTAGCTGCGGAGGCTTGTCCACTGCTGCAGGCTTGAGCGGCTTCTTGCAATGGTAGCAGTCCATCCTGGCCTTGAAGTTCCACTTGTACGAGCAGTTCGCACAGCGGACGTAGTCCAGGGGGTTGCCTCCGCTCGCGTTGGTCTTGCCTGCCTTGCCAACTCCTTTGCTCTTGCCTTTGCCGCCGCCACCCTTGGCCCGCGGCTCGGACCTGGCCCTCTGCGAGGAACTGGACATGGCGAGTGGGCAGCGCACAGCCTACCCTTTGCCACAACACGAATCAAAACTGTCGGGCCGAGAGGCCCTGGCACTGGCCGCGGACTAGCGGTATCCACTCGTTCCCCTGTGGAACAGATCATCTTGAGCCAAAATGGCTACGGGGTGTGTGTGGTGTGTGTGTGTGTGTGTGTGTGTGTGTGTGTGTGTGTGTGTGTGTGTGTGTGTGTGTGTGTGTGTGTGTGTGTGTGTGTGTGTGTGTGTGTGTGTGTGTGTGTGTGTGTGTGTGTGTGTGTGTGTGTGTGTGTGTGTGTGTGTGTGTGTGTGTGTGTGTGTGTGTGTGTGTGTGTGTGTGTGTGTGTGTGTGTGTGTGTGGTGTGTGTGTGGGTGTGTGTGTGTGTGTGTGTGTGTGTGTGTGTGTGTGTGTGTGTGTGTGTGTGTGTGTGTGTGTGTGTGTGTTGTGTGTGTGTGTGTGTGTGTGTGTGTGTGTGTGTGTGGTGTGTGTGTGTGTGTGTGTGTGTGTGTGTGGGTGGTGTGTGTGTGTGTGTGTGTGTGTCGTGTGTGTGTGTGTGTGTGTGTGTGTGTGTGTGTGTGTGTGTGTGTGTGTGTGTGGTGTGTGTGTGTGGTGTGTGTGTGTGTGTGTGTGTGTGGTGTGTGTGTGTGTGTGTGTGTGTGTGGTGTGTGTGTGTTGTGTGTGTGTGTGTGTGTGTGTGTGTGTGTGTGTGTGTGTGTGTGTGGTGTGTGTGTGTGTGGTGTGTGTGTGTGTGTGTGTGTGTGTGTGTGTGTGTGTGTGTGTGTGTGTGTGTGTGTGTGTGTGTGTGTGTGTGTGTGTGTGTGTGTGTGTGTGTGTGTGTGTGTGTGTGTGTGTGTGTGTGTGTGTGTGTGTGTGTGTGTGTGTGTGTGTGTGTGTGCAGTCAGTCGTGCCGAAGCCAAATGGGGCGGGGATATACGCACACCGATCAGGGGCCCAGGATCGGCCCGGCCAGGGTCCGTGTAGAGACCCCTGCGCACAGTGAAGCAAGCTTTATAGGCTAGGAAGCGTCCAGGAGGCGGAGGAGAAGGAGGAGGAGGAGGAGGAGGCGGAGGAGGCGGAGGAGGAGGAGGAGGAGGAGGAGGCGGAGGAGGCGGAGGAGGAGGAAGAAGAGGAAGAGGAGGAGGCGGAGGAGGCGGAGGAGGAGGAGAAGGAAGTCAGGACTGCCTCCCCAAGGAGGCGGGCCCCTGCCCCTGCGCTGCCTCTCGATCGCTCGATCGATCAAAATCCGGTGCTCGAGACTCGCCGTGCCGCCTGCGAACAGCGTTCTTGTTGGCCGAAGCGCCAAACGCTAGGAGAAGGAGGAGGAGGAGGAGGAGGAGGAGGCGGAGGCGGAGGCGGAGGAGGAGGAGGA